TCTTTGATGTCCAATAAGACACTTCGTCGTCGATCGAGAGGTACGGAGGCGTGAATGAAGCCAACAAAGCTTGTCCTGCCTTGGATTCACGCAACTCGGAACCAAACCCAATCTCAAATTCTTCGTTCCAGCACGTTGAGATATCAACGTTCCGAAACAAAGAAGCGAGAAAGACCGCGCCATTGTTGACCATCGACTTGCATCGTTCTTGGCGCCTGATCGAGTTGGCCATTTCCCATTTTTGATCCAAGTCGAGGTAGCAGTACTGCGTGAAAACCCACGGACCGTCACAGCTTTGGACATCTCGAAGCCCTGAGATCGCGTCGTGAAGAGTGGTTAGGGTTGAGTACTGAACTCGGGCGCCTTGCTGGATGGAAAACGCGACGGACACCGGCGACAGGTTGAACAGCCCAAGAGCGTTGATTTGCAGGTGGCTGGTGAGTGCGATCGCGGAAATGATGCGACGTGAGTGCTCGTTGAACCACTTGGCGAGAAAGAGGTGTGTTCCCGTCATATTGAAGCGCGACCAAACAAGGTCGTTCACCAAGAGGGTTTGGGCGAGTCCGAGGTACGAGCTGCTGCTGGAGATGACGGCTACAACGTACATTGTCGATACGACGACCCATACCCAGTGGCCCCGGCGAGTCCTGGGTCGTTGACAAGTCGATGCGGTTGGAGAAACAAGCGTCACCGTTGGCGACGTGTTCAGCAACCGCCAGAGCTTGAGGTCCAAGACGCTTTGGTTCGAAAGCGGAATGAGGCCCGATGAGAGGCGGGCGACGAGATCGAGCTGCGGCGCGAGAAACGCGTGACCGACCATGGAGAGCCGTGCGTCGCGCCAGAGCACCGGCGGGTGCCGGGTCGTTTTCAGGTAAGGCTGCAAGAGCGAAAAACAAAGAACAAAGCCGCATGCTAGACTACCGAGTAGCAAGATGCGATGGAAGTTGCCGAGCTCCACGACAATGCTGTCGCAAACAACGGCAGAGTAGTCGCCGCTACACGACCGAGAGACCGTGGCTGTCGCCAGCACGGGCCACGTGACATCGACGAGAACCATACAAAGCCAGCCAAGACCTGTCGCGAGCATACCAATGGTGCGGACGTTCGCCACAGAGCACGGCAGCAGGAGCTCGTGGAGAGCATAGCCCACCCACGTAGCTTCCCACGCAAACAAGAGAGTCATGAAAAGTGGTCGCGCGTCGAGTGTCAACTGTGCGAAAACGTTGAATGGCCGCTTCACGACTGTGCTGCTGGAGCTCAAGAGCACAATCGCGGTCGCACCTCGCAATAACAGAAGAGGCCGCCCGAGCCATGTCGAGCCAGCGACGCGACTGAACGCCAACACGTTCGTGACGACGACCATGTCACGCGTCAATGTGGCTGCGAGAAGCGCGATCATCGTGATGCTTGCCAGTAGCAAGTTGGCGTAGACCAACATGTAGGAGACGCCAATGGACGATCGCTGTAGTCCTGCACTGCTAGGCGTACGTAAACGCGTGTCGTAAATATCGGATATGAGAACAAGGGTCCCGTTGTCGCCTTGAAACGAGATCACTTCGCGCTCGCCACGCACCCACTCGAAGAGAATCACCCAGCCGTAGAACGCAAACGAGGACGAATCGAGCAGCGGCTGCAAAAGCAGCCGCCACGTCGTTGCGTCGAGCGCAAACTGCATGAGACTCACGTTGAGCAACGCCACGGCGGACGCGGCCCCCATCACTAGTTGCTCGTCGAGAGGCACCGCCGCTGCGAGCGCGGCGGCGGGCGTGAGCGATCCGCTGCACCACGTGGAAGTCTCACAAATACTCGCGACCGAATCATTCACAAGTGCGAGTGCCATGACCATCGCGGTGGGTTCAATAAAGAGGTAGGCGGACGTCGTCACGGAGCAGTCGTCCGCGATCAGAAATGACGTTAGAACAAACGATGACGGCGAAGACCCTTCGAGACACAACGGGTTGCCGCCATAGAACTGGAGCCCTTGCCACTTGGGGGGCGTCGGCGTCACATACAGCGCGCCAATGTCAGCGTACGCTTTGGCCGAGGTGGCGTTGAGCGAGTCGTAGACCGCTGCCGAGAGAGCGCTTGTGAGTTCAATGAGCGCGATCGGTGGCGGCACGACATAGAGATCGATCGATAGAAATGGCCCGAGCACATTCCGCA